AAGCATGTCCTTGTCCATTGGCACATAGACACATGGCTGGCAAGTCACCATGCCAGGAATCAACATGGACATGAGCAAAGCAGCCTTGGTGGCTCCAATCACACCATGTAGAAGCCACATTGCAAACAAATAAGAATGTGTTTTTCACCACAGCAGCCCACAGGCTTTGTTCAATGCCCGGCATGGTTGACTGCGCAACCCATGTGACCTTTGAGGCACAACAGCACAGAAAACATTGCAGGACCTACTTGTACACTTTGCCTTTGGCAGCCTGTGCTTTCACAAATGCATTGTAGGCTGATCTGCCTTCAAATCTTTTGCCACCAAAAGTCTCAGATCGACAAGTTTCACATCCCAGAGGGTTTCCTCTGCACCTCAAACATCCAAAGATGGTTCTCTCTAACTTTGGGACTTTGCTGGAGCTGCTTGGGCTTGAGTTCTTTGCAGCTGGCTTCTTCAGCACTGTATCAAAAAGTGCAGTGGCTGGCCTTTTCATGAGCATCTCCATAGCTTCATTTTCATAGTCTTCCAAACTCTTCTCTTCCTTTGCTGGGACATCAGAGTTCTTCTTGCCACCATCACCACCATCCTTCATGGTTGTCTTTGGTGAACTCTTTGGGCTCACTGCCTCTGTCCCATTGGTTAAAGCCAAAGCAGGTTTAGCAGGTGAAGTTCCTTGGCCCATTTGTTTCCTTTGAAGCAAGTCTACAGCACTAGGCCCTGAAGCCAAAGCCTTGCTTGGGCTGGGCTGCTGGTTGAAAATTGTAAGCTTCAGTGCCTTGGGTGATAAAGCTGAGGCATCAGCACTGGGATTCTGAACCAAATCCTTTAGGGCTTGAATGAAGTCTGCTGGATGGCCAAAGTCTGGAGCAGTTTGTTTGCCCAGCAATCGCTTTTTTTGAATTCTTGCTCAAATTGGAATTGGTGCTTCTGACACAAACTTGGCTAGCAATCTCAGGAAGCTGAGGCAATGTCTTGAGACAAGGCTTTTCATCACCATACACTTGTTGGATCCATTCATCTCCCAGCTCTGTGGGTAGGTCTGGGTAGACTTTCTTTGGTGCCACTTTTGATTCAACTTTGCTTGCCTGGAAAAGGCTTGTGAATTGGGTAGCCAGCATGTAGGTGTAGTCACCATCTGGCATTTGCATCCCATGCCATAGCATGGCTTGGACCAACAAAGCAACACAATACCTTTTGGTATCTTCTTTGATTGAAGTGACACCAGCCTACCTCAGTCTCTGCACTATCAACTAAGCTGCTTTGGTGATTTCACCACTCATCAGTTCCTGCAATTCAGCAACTGTCATGTAAGCAGCTACACTGACCAGTGACTGTGGACTCTTGACAATTTTGTTGCCTTTGGCAGTTTCCTGACCAGCAGCTGCCCTTGTCATGAGCTTGTCCTGAAGCCATGTTTTCTTATCTTCTGGCAAGCCAGACTTGGACACAGCTTCAAGCATAGTCAAATAGTCTGAGGGCATCATTGCATTGCTGCTTTCAATTTTCTTGGGCAGAGCAGTCAGCAAACTATCTTGGAGAACTGGAGCGCAATTGAACTGCAAGAGCTTCTCAACATCTCTAAGCTCCTGGACAAAGTCTTTTGCAGTCCAAGCCATGGTTGTCGACAAACAAAGAAATGCAATGTATTTGTGCTATAGTGGTTTTATGAGATCAACATAAGCTGCTTTTGAGCAGTGTTTTACAACCAATTGTGCAATGAACAGGTTGGCTGATTGAAACTGACCACATTGAGACTGAAAAATGCTATTTTAAAGGAAATATGATCACAAGCATAAAACCCATACAGCCACAATGGCTCAACATGGGCACAGCAACACTCAACAAAGCCATAAACAATCACATGCAGCCAATGGCTCATCAAGACACGTATCAAATTAATTCAGCCAGAATGGCTCAACCTCATGATCCAAACCAACCATCAAACAGCCAATGGCTCATTGGTTTAAACAACAAAAACCTTAATTAACACAAATTTAGTGAATTAAAACAGTTATATTAATGTTGATTATACAATATAATCTATTGAAACAAATTTGGAAGACTATACTAGGCTGAAATGACAAAGGACTTGTGAAAACTACCTCCAAATTACGGCGGCTAAGTCATGAAGGTTTAGCCTACCCCCCACAAGTATTTATGTCATGAAGCAAAAGCTTGGAAAAACATCAAAATCAGAGATGCCAGGGGTTGTCACCAAAGATCCTAAAAACAGTTGATTTTATATTGACAAGCATCATGACATACGACTTTGGTATCTACAATGAATAAACCATCGAGAGATAGGAATTTGAGAGCAAAAACGCACAAAGGCAGACTTAAAGCAAAAGATGTTCCTATGACATGTGGACTTTCATTAGCTCTAGTATTCCAGGAGCATGCCCCCCACCAACCCCCCCTCAAAAAAAAAACTCAGGACCAGGTCAACAAGGCCTATGTCATGAGTGTGTGCCAATGAAATTGCCCTGTATAACATTTGTACATGACTTAGGACTTGCCCTGGGAAAGTTGTATGTCATTTCGACCCAATTGGCCTAAGTCATCTCACCCTAGTATAATTCAGTAGACTGAATTGGTTTTACCTTTTTGGGAAATCCAATTCAGTGGGCTGAATTGGATTTACTTTTTTGGAAATCCAATTCAGTAGGCTGAATTGGTTTTACCTTTCAGTGAAATCCAATTCAGTAGGCTGAATTGGTTTTACCTTTATTGAAATTCAATTCAGCCTACTGAATTGGATTTCAACATCTTTAAAATCTGTATGGCATTACTTCAGCTAAGATTCTTATCAGAAGCAACTCCAAACATAAAGAGCTTCTTGACCATAGCCTCCTTGGTGCCCAGTGCCAATTTGAAGCATTTCCATTTGGCCTTGTGAAAGTCACTGTTGAACTCAGATCTGTTCTGCACAACTGGTGTGTTCAGAACAGCCTCCATGGCTAGATCACAGGAAATCAAACAATATCCTTTCTCTTGAGCAAAGTACAACATAGTTATAGTATCATACAAGTATCAAATTTTAAACCTTGAACTCCAATCAAGCCAAGTAGGCTCCAATCAAAGCCACTGGGCTCCAAACAAGCCAACGACCAGCCCAACTAGTGGCTCTTATGATCCAAAACTACTAATCAAAATTCTCAACACTGAAAGTGCAAACTTTTTTTCAGCAGACATTGAAGTCTTGCAAGCTGTGCAAAAAATGTCCTAGTGATGGATTCATCCATCATCTCCAAATTGACACAGACTTTGGTCAGTCAGTGCTAGGTGTCATTGCACCAGGGATACATTCTATCGAATCCCTCTCTCTTCAGCACATGGATGTGAGTATCGACAAGGCTCCTCATTTGTGGACCCTGCAGGTACCTTGGTGGAGCTAGTGATGAATAACACAAATATATGTAGTGGTGAAAAGCAGTTGCCTTTGATCATACTGTATAGACAAAGCACAAGGTGACCAAGGCATCACTTTTCTGCCAGTCCTGCTGGATGTAAGCCTTGGATAGTTTTGTTACAAGGCTTTCCATACTTGCAACAAGACAGCCCAGTGAGCTCTGACACGCAGCCATCATGGCTCATTACAATACTATTTCCAAGAAACACCCAACAAAGGCACCATGTAGTTCTTCCAGCCAGTTGGCATCTTGGGTTGAGCCTGTCCAGCCATCCACTGTGCAGATGCAGAAGCCCCCCTTCTCTTCATCATCCACAAACTGCTTCCCTTTTCCGTAGGGGCCAGCATTAGGTACCCTGGGAGGTGGTGGTGGTGGCACCAAATGCATTGGAGTCATTGGAGCTTCATCAGCAGAGGATGATGCCTACAGGGATTTTGCATTGAATAAAATCAAAACACAATAAACTTATGAATGCTTATAGCGCTTCAATTAAATTATCACTTTTGTTTTTTTGACACAACCCACAGCCTTCCCATAAATCATCTCATACTGGTGGAGCTCCAGTTCATTCTCCTTCAAGAGCCCTTCATTCTCCTTGGTGGACTTGTCAAGCTCCAAGGACAGCTGCTGACTGTGACCTTGCAAGGTTTCAAATCGCTCCAGCCAGCACCCACTGGGCAGGTGTAGTGCTGTTATGAGGGATGAAAATGTCACCAGATGGTGATTTGTCGACATCAGCAATCCTGCCCAAGACTCCCAAGTTCTGCCAGGACTTGCCATCCTCCACATATACATTGCTGATGTACCACATGGGACCATCGGCTGTGTACCAAATGAACAGCTCTTGGTCCACTTTCTTCAGAATGATAGCACCATTCACCATCACATCAGTCACCTGCCAAGCACCAGTGAGAACATCTTCAATGCTCCTTAGACGCAGTGGCTGCACTCCAACAGATCCAATATGACAAACACAACACAAAACATGCCAATTGACATTGCTTTACTAGCTATTTTAGTCACCATGTCATGATATGTCACGATAGCCACACAAGGCTAAGTATACACAACAAAAAACCACAGAGGCTCCAGAAACAAACAAGCTCTTAAGATTAAGACACATGCAGCCACCTATGGCTCCCTACCAACCATGACATGCTAGCCCAAGGGGCTCCAAAACAAATGCTTACATGCTTTAAGCAATTGTGGGAACAATGGTTGCAAAATGGTCAGTGAAAATGTTTTGGTTTTCCAGGACAACTTGCAAGCATGGCTTCTCATTTGAGAGCGCCCTTGGAAAATTTGCCAGACTTGCTATAAGTCCTTTTGGCAGTACTTTCACATTCTGAGCAATCACTTTCCAAAAAACTCAAAGCACCTTTCCAAATTGCTGTCTTCCAGCAGAATGCAAACATCAGCATGCTTGCTGGGAGGCCACATGACTGACAAAGAGCCACCATTGGGTAAGGTGACCACCACAGAATGGGACGGTGCTTCAACAGCTGCTTTCTTTTGTTTCTTCTTGGGCCTTGGCCCATCTTGCTGGAACAAATCTGCAGCGCCCTCTTGTTTAGAGTTCTCTTCACTCTTCTTGTCAAGGGTCTCTGAATGCACCAGGCTCAGCAGAGCATTCATTTTGCTGCCACTTGACAAAGACAAGTTCTTTTTCTTTGAGTCAGGGCAAATCAATTTGGTGATCACATGGTGAGAAGGCCTCAACTTGAGAAAGGTATTACCTTCATCATTTTCCAAGACCGGCTCTTCAGGAACAACAACAGAAGTGCCCTTCCAAGAAATGGAAGTCAGCTGCTTCACTTCCACTGCCATGCGCGTTGAACCCCAGGGAAATAGTGAAACAAGAACTGGTGGGGAAGCTTGAAGCAAAAAAGACTAGAGAACGCGAAGGCTCATGCTGAACAATAACATGGAACAAGGTTGTAAGCAGCCATACAAGGCTCACCCTGCATTGCGCAATGCTCAGCAGCTTGAAAGTTGTTTTGGCAACTTTGCTCTGGCTGGGCTGGTAAAGGTGGATTCACCTCTTGGCTTTCTTGGCCTTGGTTTCACCAACAGCTGCAGCAGTTGCAGCGCTCTCCTTCATTCTCTTCTTGGCCAAAGCTTCATTTTCACACAGGAGTAGATCTCCAGGCTCCAGCTCCTTGCTGTTGACATAGCAAGGCAGCTCCACACTGCCAATCTTCTTGGCCTGCAAGGTCATATTGACCAAATCATCTTCCATTGTGCTCTTCACATACCAAAATGGCACTAGCACAGTTTTGTCATCAACCTTGTCAATCTCAGACAGCATCTTGGGGGCAGCCACTCCAAAGCTGCCAAAGAACACTTTCATGTTCTCTTTGTCCTTCTCTTTCACAGAGTGCAAAGATCCATAGGGTTTGAGGACCAAAGCTCCAGCAGCAAAATGCTGCAAAGCACAGACACCGATGGGGTTTGCAACAAAGCCAACAGCCTTGGAAGTGACAGGGTTGGTCACGTATGCCTTGCGCAACTGAATCTGAGCTTGGTACAAGCTTATGGCTTCTGTCACCACAGGACGCTTGTAAGCCAAATGCTTCTCTGCAATGTCAGTGGCCAAAAGGGTAGACATTGACTTCTTGCTTTTTCTCCAATCTCTCAGTTCATCTCCCAACTCCACAATCACAGTCATTGGCTCACCCACCAATGGAACATGTTCAAACCTGTGCTTGCATTGCTTTAGAATTGCAACTAAATCTCCACCAACTTAGCAAACTAAGAAGTGCCCCCCCATGAAAACAAAAAAGCCTTGTAAACTTGACAAAGGAGCTTGGCACCATCTTTGGTCACTTCCAAGAGCTTGTAGAGGGCGCTACCTATCTTATGGTTCTGATAGTTGCAGCCA